GGGGGGGGGGGAGCGCGATAAACAAAAAGAGGGGGGCGGGGGAATAAAGTCTGAGGAGATGCGAAAGAGAGAGGAAGCCGCACAAGAAACGAGAAAAAGAGTGCACGAAGGGCAGGGCGTGACATGCCGTGTGGCGGTAATTGCTTGCCGCGCGAAATACCTTCGTGTCAGGATTCTTGACCGACCCAAGCTGTTGTCGAGCCATTGTGTTCGACTTCCTCTTCCTTGAAACCCAAATCAGTCACGACTCGGCCACTAAAGCTCTACCGCTCGTTATGGCGACCGGGAACCCGCGGCAAGGCTCACTTTTTCGCTCTCGATTCCCAGTTGCCCCTTGGTGCCGTGCCCCCAAACCCGCACACCGAAGTCAGCACCATTACCACCACCGCCGCTATCTCCGCCGGTACCGGCGGAAGACAAACCTCTACTGAGAAGGACCCATTCACGCCTGTGCATATGCAGCATTGGGGGCGAACGGGGCGGTGAAGAGACAGTCGACGGAGAATGGGAGCGTGGGTGGGCTGTTGGTGCAAAAAACGGACGTGTTAACTGTTGGTGTGCACACGTGTAGTTGGAGTTATGTAATAAAGGGTTTTTTCATGTTGCGTGGATGAAGGGACCTATTTACCCCGTATGATGGATTATGGATGAGTTACGGTGCCCCCGAGGACACGCCGGCCTGCTGTGTGGGGCACTCTCTTGCCTTCCTGTCTCATGCGCTGAGGACCTACAATACAAGCCATACACGAGATTCTCCGTAAGTCACAACGACGTCAACATGTAAATGTAACGTTTCGCCTGTTTTCGAGCTTCGGGACATGAATGTAGTTCGCTAGCGGGAGCGAGTCTTTTCTCACACTTCCTTCGCAGGGGCAGGCGGGGGGATGGTCCGTACACCACCGCGTACGTCCGAGGACCGTCAGCCACCCGTGGCGCGTGTGTTTGATGCCCACAGCTGAAAATACTGGCTCTATACCCCGGGGACATGTTCCGCGCAACGAAAGCCTTCGCAAGATATGCAAAAAAATGCTTCGTATAGACAGCAAGACTTTTGATGCCTGCCCTACCCACACATGTTCCACAGACCATGGCAACACGAATACGTAAGAGTGAGAGATCAAACGTAGCGGAGTGCAGCAGTAGGAACTGCAGTAAAGACGCCACTAGCCTAGAAGCACACTCTGAAGCACACGCGAAAGGTCAGCGCGAGAAAAAAAAAAAAAACGCCGCACATGATGCAAATTCTGCAGGTTGTACGCACAACCGGCACCACCGAACGTCATCACGTTGAGATGTAACGATGCACCCGTGTGGTGACGACGTTTGACACGTATGTCCTCCGCCCCCGGGAGACAAGCCACCTGACTCCCGAAGGGGAACCTTGTACAGGTATACCTAGTTCTGAGGGTACAACAACACTCGTATAGAGTTTCATACTTGCAAGGAATGCCGGCGTAGGCCGATGTCAGGACGAGTTTCCCAGCAGGTGGGGATGTCATCCAAAATCGGGGAGACGAGCGACTGGCACGTGTAGAGAGCAAGGCCAAGGTCAACGAGAAGATGGTTAGGGTGATGCGCCACCTTCTTGTCCTCTATGGTGGGACGTGCCGTGTCTCTCCGTACGTGTCAGTAACGTGCCTCACATCCCCCCAATTTCGGATGACATCTCCCCCTGCGAAACTCCTCTGACATCGTTATTGGCGCCGAGACTCCTTGCCATGGGAGCGACTCTACAACAGTATCTTCGAACAGCCTCTACCAAACTTGGTAAGGCTTTCAAAGCACATATGTAGAGGTCCGGGGGGTTGGTCGTGATCGAGGGTATCGGTTCATGTTCATGCGGTACATGCTTACCGAGGGGAGCTTCTTGCCCAGAAGCACGTGTGTTCGCCGCTACATTGTTGGTACTGCTGTACAGCAGCAGCGGTGCACGGGGTACATCACTGCTGTGTACACTTGATAGCACCAACGGTAGATTTAGCCGACGGCGAAGCGTGCCGTAGGTGACGTAAGACACCACACACCCCGGACCAAATTTCACAATTCGACTACTCCACGACGAAGACGAAACAAAAATCAATGATCGACGAGACTCTTAACCCCGCCGTGTTTGAGCGCTCTTGTCAACTCTGTTGATCCTGGAGAGAAATCGAGCTGTTAGAAGTGGTTCAGGGGGTGTGGTATCTTACGTAAAGGTACCTGCGGTACGCATAATTACGATGCAGCAGCAGGCGGCCTTGTTGCTCTCCCGCAAAACACGCCGCGGAAGCTCCCCCCATGCTACTCATGGCGCTATGCAACGTGAAAATCTATGTGTGACCGATCCCTGCTGATCAACATAGATGCCGGAAGGATGTCACACGTATCATGCACCGCATATTTGAAAACACGTGACCACGAGCCAAAACTACAAGCACTGCTGTAGATACCAGGGCACGAGAGAGATAACGTGGAGGGTCAAGTCGGCGACGCAAATTTCAACAGCCGCATTTCGGTCGTGAGCATACATGACTACAAACGTGCCAACACCTGTTGTAGGTGCCACGCTGCAACTGCGGTGCACAAAGAACCACAAGTACAAGTACAGGCCGTCTCGCGAGGGACGAAACACCCCGCTTGACAACCGCACACAAGGGACTAAGAGAAATACAGCATACTTAAGTAGTTATCTACTGCTGCTGGCCGTTTCCCACCAGAGTAGCACTGACGGCAAACAGCAAAACAGCACCGACCAGTCAAAGATCAGACCGAGGCCCTGCTTCGCTGCTGGTGCTGGATCGCCGTCATGAGAAAATCAACCGCCGAGCCAAGCTGAGCAAGCAGCACCTTCTGCTGCAGAAGGAGGTGTGTATCATAGGACGCCTCGATGAACAAGAACTTGCGCATTGCAAAACCCGTCCAAAACCATCACCGTACCTCAACAAACTGCAGCCTTGTGCAGGTCGTCGCGCCACGCATCTCAACGAAGTCATCATGGGCGCCATGGTTGAGTCACACAACACAAGAGAGAAGCTGTGGGAGAGTGTGAAGGAGTCAGCAGGCCCGACCAGCGGTTGCGAGCGGCGAGAAGGGGGCGCGCGGCTGGGATAAGGAGTTCGTCTCCGTGGCGGTATTCTACGCGGGCATTTCAACTATGATATAAAACGAAGAGCGGAAACCGTGGGCACTGCACAGCTGACAGGGGACAGGTGCTAGATTGCCAAATACGCCACGCATGAAAGAGACACTTTTCCCGTTCCAACGTTCAACCCGACGATATGAATACCGCCGATGATCGATACATCTAGGAGTTGTTCTTGAACGAACAACGTAAAGTCTAGAATGTGTGCCACGAGGTGAAGGAGAAAGCATTTCAGATACTGCTCTCTCTACTTCACTACGCTTGTTCCACGATTAAAACGGCACGCCTCCTTGTAATGGGCGACAGGCGTCACCCACTCTTTGGAGGCTTGGTAAATGTCTTGATTAGATGCCTTGATTATGCACTTGGAAGTACGCGTTGCTTGCCATCGGAACCGATCTCGTGTCTTGGGCACACCACCCACCATAGAGTAAAGCTTCGAAGTAATCGCTACCTCCAAGGCGAACAATTTTGGGCTTAGGGCACGCGTCACACGTCCGTCCTTGCCCCGTGTCGTACCCAAGACAATGCTTGCTACCTAGTTCGTTGCGTGACGATCGACGCGCAAAACAAGTAGGTGTATCAAATGGAGATGATCACATGGACGGCATTCAACAGAGCCCCCCAAAGAGTCCCCTCTCATTCGTGTTTTTGACTTTTCCGTCTTGTAGGCATCGTTGCAAGCAACGTTCAAAGGACACTTGTCCCCACGTCTTTAGAAAACACGACTTTCAGCCTCGCTTGCGCGAATGACGGCCAAAGGGGCGCCCGAGATCCTTTGCTACCGTTGGTTCCGAACTTTTTCCCCATACAAACACGAGCAGCTCCAACCGGTGGAATCCCCCAACCCTCGAGCCGCGGGACAATCGCCTACAGCAGTACCGACGCGCACGCCCTTCGCCGACATTTTTCCTCCCACGGTACGCGCGAACCTTGCTTCTCCAGGACGAGCCGGCCTCTGCCTTCCCTCTACGCACAAAACACCAGATTAATACAAGGACAGTCGCCTCACGGCAGCATCACCGGACGCATGTAGAGACAACAACAGACTAAACTAACAGAGACGCGCAACCCCAGCGAGCACACCCATAGAAAGCACGACTCTGCCGTCATTGGTATTGGAACTGCTATAATAGCAAGTGAGTAGGTGTGGCTGCCTTTCTCTCTCCTTGTTACTGCTTGGCGGCTGTGTCTTGCTTGGTGTAATACCCCTCGATCTTGATCCCGTCTTGCTTGGTCACGCCCTGGTAGTACACGAAGGCCGCCGACGCGCCGATGGCGACGCCGGTCGCCGCTTGCTTCCATAACATGCCCAGCACCTTCATCTCCGCGGGTCCCCCGGCCATGGTTGATTTATCGTTGTTGTTGTTACTTCGCGTACCTGACACGCGGAAAACAATCCAATGACATACACCATGCAATCGCCGAAGGTCGATATGTTGCGTTATTGATCACCGTTCGCCGGTGTAAGATGCCAAACTCGACAAAAGCGGGCAGTTGCGTGATGCTAGCGAGGACAAACGGTTGCTCGACTAATGCGGGAAAAAAACGGAGGACACTCTAGGACCAATCGGGTCTGCCTGCCCCTACCACGTAGGGACAGGTGGGTCGGCACCCAGTGTTTCTTTACTGCCGGCAACCGGTGAGTGCGGGAACGGCACACAGGCTTACTGAATCAGACGAGCGGAAAATATAGTGCCTTGTACGTTTTTTGCGCGAGAAAGAGCAGTCAATATGGACAACGCACCCGGAGACAGCTCCAACGGGCAACGGACGGGATACCATACGATCTTCTTGTCTTCGAAGTTTTTCGCAACCGCACCCTCAATGATTTTGTATTCCCCACCATCTCATAGAGAAAGAGCACGGGGAGGTGAAAAATAAAACCGGGTGCGCCAACGTTGGAGCGGTCATATGCATATGTAGGAATGTTGTGCTTCCTTCGCTGCACTCAAATCATGTGTCGTTCGTCGTTGCATCATAGAAAACGAAGAGCGACGCCCATTCACCCGCAGCAAATTTACCAAGCTACCCAAGGCGCCGGCTTTGAACAGGTATGATTTTTTTGTAAGAACGAAGTCCATTGCTTCCCGCTCGTTTGCGCATCTCACTCATGTTCCTTGCGAATGAATTTGTGTGCCCGGCTGCGTCAAGGACGCGTCGCACTAATATGTAAAACATTGTGGTGCAGTAGTAACTCAACACACCCCGTGTGTCGTCTTCACGTAGACCATGCATCGACAACCCCCCTCGAGGAACTGAGAAAACTTAAACAAAGAGAGCGAGGAACCTCAACCGCCGCACCATCGATGTTAGCCGACTCTATACGAGACAAGGGTCAAGGGGGCTCTGCTACGGATGGCCTATGATGCCTGAAAGGCCGCAGAGATCGCCACGCTAATGACGGCATCATGTGGATGAACACGCCTGGGACCCCTGTCGACGTCGTGATAAGTACGAGTACCATCATACTTCAACACTGCTGCGCACGCACAAGAGCGCGTGCTGCGGGTGGGAGCTGGCTTACGTCGACTTTGAGAATTTGAGAAGGAGTGAACAGAAGTCAGGGCGGTGTAATCGTTAGGCCGACACGAGACCGCATACGTTGCCGCGGTAGAGAGTAGTGCAATCAGGTCGACACCCTCGCAACCACTTACCGGTATGATCTTGTGAAAGGATGGCAACTTATCGCTCTGCACTTTCGGCTTACATTCAGTGAGTCAGGTGCAGGCGCAGTTTGCTCGAAGGGAGCTTTGGCCTATACTGTAGGCAGACAAACGTGCCTCACGAAATACTGTAGGCTTTTCCCCCGTAGGCGACCGCCGAAAATGCCAAATTCCGCAATATGTCGCCAAAAAACAAAACTGCCCGCCGAAAAACAAAACTGTCACCAAAAAACAAAACGTAGCGCCGTTTTTGGAGGGGGGCTCCGCCGAATCATGGGTTGGGTCACCGATTATCGCCCGATTAATCTCACGGTGTCCCTGCTTGCGACCCCCGGGAGGAGACAACTTGACAATCACACACCCACACGGCTACACACACACACAGCTGAACGGCGGTGCGATGCCGTCGCCTCTTACCGGTAGCCTACTTTGGTGGTATTAATAGTAGATGGGAAAATAGCAGCGGCGACGAGGATTCGGAGAAGGAGGAGGCGCAATTTGTCGGTCGAACGACAAGTGCCGCCGCTGGTTCTGGTGCCGACAGCGGCGGCGGCGGCAGCGGCAGCGACAGTGCCACACCACCTGCTGCCTGTGCCCGGAATCCAACACGGGTCTCTACAGCTGGCTCAGCTTCTTCTAGCAGCACTAGTGCCTCTGCACTNGCCTACTTTGGTGGTATTAATAGTAGATGGGAAAATAGCAGCGGCGACGAGGATTCGGAGAAGGAGGAGGCGCAATTTGTCGGTCGAACGACAAGTGCCGCCGCTGGTTCTGGTGCCGACAGCGGCGGCGGCGGCAGCGGCAGCGACAGTGCCACACCACCTGCTGCCTGTGCCCGGAATCCAACACGGGTCTCTACAGCTGGCTCAGCTTCTTCTAGCAGCACTAGTGCCTCTGCACTCCAACGTAGCGCTGGTGGCACCATTTCTGCAGGTGGTTCATCTTCTTCCCGTTTTGTGTTACTGGAAGTACATGCTATGTACGTCGCCGAAAATCGCCAACATTCGCCGAAACTGAACTATGACTCGCGGAAAAACATGTGGAAGTCGCCGAAAGTCGCCGAAAAAGATGTTTGTGGCACTAAACAAAAAATGCCGAAAATTTCCGTGAAACGCCGAAAAAAACAAACATCGCCTACACGGGGGAAAAGCCTAAATATTTTGCGACGACGAGTGTTGTAGTCGTGGATGAGACCGCACGAAGGCAACTGCTACCGTCAATGTAGCAGTAGACACTCCAAAACCTAATTTCGCTTGTCGAATCTGCTCCACACTTTCGCGAGTATTAGAACTACATCCTTCCACGACAGGCGAAGCGCGGTATCGCTTTCACGTACAGAATTGTATGGAGCAGCGACAGGTCGGACAACCTAACGAGTGGCATTTTGTGTGTGCGTTTTCGGCCGAGAGCTGGGGATTGGAGGGGTCTGGCGAGCTCTGCGTATCTCTCTCCCAGGCAGCCAAACAAGCCGCATCCTCCACCGCCAGCTGGATACATAAGCAGAACCTTCCGTCATTGCTGTCGGCAACCGCGACGGCAAAATGTACTTGGAAACCAAGGGCAACACGCACAACGGGGACATACAGGGTGTTCGTGTTCGCCGACGCCACCCTAGAAGGACGCAAAACATCAACATCATCGGTGGTAGTGTTGTTAGATGAGTTTATCTCGCACTGCACAACACAAGTCTCGAACAAGGCGGCACGAGTCTTGCACGTCATCAAATACGCCCATATGCTCACCTCGTAGAGAAGAAAGAGGCTATGTGTGCGATGCGCAGCACGACACCGACACAAGGTTGCTGAGTGCCGCAGTGATTCACGGAGCCTCCGGGAGAGGCAGGGTACCAGTACGTACTTAAAGAAACACGGAGCTCCCTGAAACCCCCGCCGCCCGCCGCCAACCCCGCCGGTGCTGGGCGTGACAAGCAGTGCTGGTCTTGCTGTCAAAGTGACGTGCCACCCACTATCACACAAGTTTCCCACTAACTGCGGTAGTGCTGCCTGTTGCTTCAACGGCTCGACATCTACAAGCTTTGGGGAAGTAGTGAGCCACCTTCGTGTGTCCAAAAGCAAAGAGGCATCTGCAGCCACCCCTGAGCTGCCAAGCTACTGCTGCTGTGTGTCGGCAGAAACGTGGTCACCATGCCTCCTAAGCACAAAGGTTTCAACATGAGGTCCAAGTCCGGGTCCTCTGCCAATCCGCACCGTAGTACGGATGGCCTCAAAGCCAATGGTGGAAACCTTCGGGACAAGGTGAGTCGGTAGCCAATGCAAGCGAATGATTCGAACTTTAGGTGGCTTGGGGGATATATACGCCCACATGTGCTTCACGTCCACAGCTATGAGTGTCCTGGTTGTTGCTGTCGTACGTTGTTGGCGTCAGACACTTCTCTTCCCCTGGCGGTTTACCTCTCCAACCAACAAGGGGAGAGCTCGCGAACAAGTGGTCGGTGGAAGCAACGTTGCTTATGACGTAGTGAAAAATGGTGTATCTCAAAGCATCGCTCCCATTGTACACCGCCTCCCCGGAAGAATAAACACATGTTCTTCAGCGGGAGACAGCCATGTGGGGCGGATTTCATAGTGTTAGACACCTTGGGTGGCAGAGCGGCGCTACAAGCTGGTCTGACCAAGAAGCGAATTTGAACGTTGGAGCGGATTTCCCACGCGGTTTTTTCGAATAAGAACCTGAAATTTTGACACGGCATCTGCATGAGTTGTTGTTTCTTCACAATAAACTCGTGTCCGTTGCTAATCCCAAAATCTAGCAAAGACTCGGTCCGTGGTCGCAAAAATGCTGGGAGCCCTCACAAGATCTAAAGAACACACACACTATTAGCAAGAGAAGGGTACACGAGCCCGAGGAGGTGCACCTACAACCCCTGCAGCACGTTTGCGTGCCCGCAACTGAACTTCATGCCCACACGCTACAGTTCGACTACAGCAGCAGCATCACCCCCCTTGTCCCGCATTTAACCAAAATGAATGATTGTCGACTACAGCGTATTGCTGTCTGATGTGCTGTCTGTACATGGTGCATGGTACACAAGCTCGGGGCATGCAGCTGCTGTCTGAAGTACTGTCAGAATGAGTCCGTGGACATACAATGAAGAACACCCAACCAAAGCCATCATTACAATCGGCATTCACCCGAATCTATCCAGATCATCGGTGTTTGGCACAGCAGTGTAAACATCGTTACTGACTAGGAATCGTTCCACATTGAAGAAGTCTTCCACGATGCAGGTACACAATTAAGGCACCCGGGTTATCCGCGCCATCTCTGCCGCGTCTCTCTGAAAAAACCCGTGACGTCGTCACACACACCCAATACCTATAATCAGGAAGAGCGAAATAATTGACAACACAAGAGATGTTTGTCAGTGCGCCACGGTTCGATGCCGTCCGCATGCTCCGGTTCCGCTGCTCCGATGCCGCTTCTCCGGTGCCGCTGTGGCCAGTCCTAGCACGACCAAACTCGACCCGCTCCGCTTCTTACACGCTCTCGTTGCACTTGGGATTCTTGGTCTGGGATATCTCGCGCCTAGGGGTCAACCAGCCCAATCAGCTCGTCACCACCTGTCCCCTCCTTTTTTTATGGCAAAACCAGGTTACTGAGACAGTACAGCTCCCTCTAGCAAACTTAGGGCCGTGTACATAGCGCCCGTCCACNACTTGGGATTCTTGGTCTGGGATATCTCGCGCCTAGGGGTCAACCAGCCCAATCAGCTCGTCACCACCTGTCCCCTCCTTTTTTTATGGCAAAACCAGGTTACTGAGACAGTACAGCTCCCTCTAGCAAACTTAGGGCCGTGTACATAGCGCCCGTCCACCTTACTGATGGCGTCTGCCTCCGCGCACAAAGATGAGATGGGCATTGCTGCCTACACCGACGGCCTGGAGGCCCACGCACCTGCACGTTTGTACCTGACGCACCAGTGCCAACCCAACTCCACCACTACGCACGCCTCGCGGTGGGTGCGCCGCAGCCAGAAGGTATTGGTCCGTCCCTTGAGGGTGAGTCTAGCCCTGCTCGCTAGAAAGACCCCCCCCTCTCGCTATGTTACCCCGCCCGCCGGTATTTGCCATCGGGATTGGGTTTTCGTCGCTTGCCTACGTTGTAAAACAAGCCGCCCCCCCCCGGTGTTTGCCATCGGGGTTGGGTNCAGAAGGTATTGGTCCGTCCCTTGAGGGTGAGTCTAGCCCTGCTCGCTAGAAAGACCCCCCCCTCTCGCTATGTTACCCCGCCCGCCGGTATTTGCCATCGGGATTGGGTTTTCGTCGCTTGCCTACGTTGTAAAACAAGCCGCCCCCCCCCGGTGTTTGCCATCGGGGTTGGGTTTTCGTCGCTTGGCAACGACGTTGTATAACAAGCCAATTCACTTCGTGAACTCGGCAACCAGGATACCGTTCTTTTTTTTACTTCTGTTTTGTTTTTGGCGGCAACGATAACGGCGGTCGAGTGGATCATGTTGTGCGGGGTCGAGAACCCTCACTTCGCGCAAGGGGGATGATCGCACCACGTTGTGTTAAAATGGTCAAGCACCCTCGAGGCAGTTACACAGTGCTTACAACTGTCTCTGGAAGTGCAAGCACCAGAAAATATAATTATGTCATACGCAGCGGTCATCCGTATGCAAGGGAGTAAGCACACAAGATGCCGAACACCCTTAGCAGGCAGGATGCAGCGCACCCTTCATGCGACTCGCCGAACATCTCACGGCGGCGCTTGGTGATGTGAGAGCCTGGTCCGGTGAGAACCCGGCGTGCTCCGTCCCGGCTTTTGCAGGGATGCGAGGTCAATGGTCCAACGACTACGGCATGCACGACTATGAGTACACCCCCCCCCTCTCGCTATGGGTCATGCCTAAGCAAAACCTTGCCGAGGCAGCGAGGGGAAGACGGCATGAGTACAACAAACAAAACAGCCACTGCGCCATTTTTTATTTTTTTTTCATGAGTTAGGCTGATGTTGGTGGTCATGGGAATATATATATGCTATGCGAAAAAGTCGCAGAAAAAAAAAAAAGTCGAATGGCGCTTGGCTTGTTTATATGTTGGTACTCATGAGGATGCCCTGTCGAAATTTCAGGTTCTAATTCGAAAAAAACGCGTGGGAATCGCGATATCCTCACGTGGTATCTTGTGTGTTCTATCGGATTCTTCACGAGGCCATAACTTCTGATGGAAGATGCCTAGAGCCTTGAAATTACCGTCTATCATTTCGCGATGTTCCCAGGTACATGCACAGCAATTTTCAGCTTGATCTGACAAACTTGTTTTATGCTGATTTCAGTACAAGAAGCATCCCCCAGTATGCCGCCAATCGATAAACTACATACCTCAATCAACTCAGATCCGAAAAAGTCCGGCACCTAAACTTCCCCTAAAGTGTTGTGAGAGCAGCCCCTAAATTTGAAGCCTAAATTCGTAGAAACAGCAGATTGGGACCTGAAAGAACCGAACGTTAGCTTCTTGGTCAGACCAGCTTGTGTCGAAGGGTGGTCTTGGCTTTCTCGATGGTCTATTTCATTAGGCGGATCATCACACACGTGCAACACTGTTAGGCTTGCGCCTGACCCCCCCAAATCGTGTATGCGCGTGGGCCGATTATTCGTTTTTTGTGTGTGTGTTTTCCAAGAGGAATGTTGGTCCGCACTACCTGCCGACGACGCCAGATCGCGTTTTGACTTGATATTAGAGCATGACCTGGTATCGTGGAATACTCGCTCCCACAATCAAACTTGCTCGTGATGTTGGACAGAGACATGTGAACAGACCATATGCGTGTTTTTGCCGGTCAGTTTTTGGAATGGACACCAGAAAGCCAGTCTAGACTCTTAAAAACCAGTGATTTTCGGTGTTTTTCAGAGGTTGCAGCAGCGGCCTCGTGCGTGTGTGGTGATTGCGCGAAACAACATCGATATAAAGATAGCTCTGGTTTCTGCGAAAGCCACAAAACAAACCGCGCCACAATCCACCACTCCGACGCCTCCCAGCACCTCTTCCAGGATCGGGTCTCGATGGTCAAAGCACCGCTGTTGAATTTTTGTGGAGAGTCTTTCGCGCATCATACATAAACTTTTGTCCTACGCGCACAGCCTCTACCGCGACCGCTAGAGCAGCTTTTGCCACCGTTCCAGTGCCAAAAATAGCTGTGGATACTCCACTCGCGACGCAGTGTGACTTGAACCTCGGCAAGGTTGGGGAAGGGGTTGATGGAATGCGATTTCCTTTTGATGTCAACTTGAAAAAATACAAACGCGCCGCCGGTTAAATTTTTCCGGTGTGGAGTTTTTCGCGCATCATACATCAACTTTTGTGCCACGCGCACAGCATCTACCGCGGCCGCTAGAGCAGCTTTTGCTAACGTTCCAGCGCCAAAAGTAGCTGTGGACACCCCACTCGCGACGCAGTGTGACTTGAACCTCGGCAAGGTTGGGGAAGGGGTTGATGCAATCCGATTTCCTTTTGATGTCAACTTGAAAAAATACAAACGCGCCGCCGGTTAAATTTTTCCGGTGTGGAGTTTTTCGCGCATCATACATCAACTTTTGTGCCACGCGCACAGCATCTACCGCGGCCGCTAGAGCAGCTTTTGCTAACGTTCCAGCGCCAAAAGTAGCTGTGGACACCCCACTCACGACTCCATGCTACTTGAACGTCGCCAAAGTTGGGGGAGGGTGGGGTCGGGTGCGATTCCTTTTCGATGTCAACTTGAACAAACACACACGCGCGCACGCGTACGCGCCGTGGTTGAATTTTTGGAATGGAGAGTTTTTCGCGCATCATACATAAACTTTTGTCCTACGCCCACAGCCTCTACCGCGACCGCTTGAGCAGCTTTTGCCACCGTTCCAGCGCCAAAAGTAGCTGTGGACACCCCACTCGCGACGCAGTGTGACTTGAACCTCGCCAAAGTTGGGGAAGGGTGGGGTTGGATACATGTCCTTTCTGATGTCAACTTGAAAAAAAACGATTTCTTCCCAGATTCTTTCGAAGCAAAAAAATTCAGGGCTCCGCGTCATCGCCGCTCTCCTCCTCCGACGTACGACTCAGATTCTCTGACGCCTCAGACTCAGAATCTTCAGACGACGAGGTGGTTGTCCTCCCACTCGTGCCAGCAACCTTTGCCAAGAGGGCCCATGAAAAACTCGCACTCGATCCCGTCGTTGACAGCGAGATGGAGCACGTGGAGCAGGCACCCGATGCAGTGAGCGAAAATTGGACCTTCTTCGCTGAAAACTTCGGGTGGTTCATGAGGAGGAGGAGGAGGTGCAGCAGCCGTGGGCTGGGCCTGACCCTCACTGGCGTCGTCGCCCATTTCCGTGGCGACGGTCTGCGGGGGGGTGGTCCTCGTCCAGTTGGGCGGAGCACCGCACCATACACTTTAAATGCCGCTGCTGTGGTGTGTGCTCTCTACTCGAAACCACACCCACGCCCCCCAAAAAAAACTCATAAAAACACGCTCGAATACAGATGGTTGTGGCCTGTTCGCCTGAAAGTTGACTCGATTGTCAAAATTGGTAGATTTTCATTGGTCGAAAAATAACCAGGAAGGAATAGAAGTCTGTTCAAATGTAGGTCCGTGTGACATAAAATCGGCCTAAAAAGAGGGTCAGATGCAAGCCTAACTGTTGCAAGCCTGTCGTTCCTCTCACTGGAGGCAATAGATGACCTGCTCTCATCTCGATGTGCAGTGGTAGATCGAGTGCTCAGAGTCCCAAACGCGAGCCGTAGCAGCTAGCTGCCTTACACGGCTCCAGGCACCCGGCTTCTGATGTACAAGGGTACATCTCCAAACATCCCTACTATCGTATACATGAGATGCAAGACACACATGCTGCACCACCTCCTCGAACCACCGCCTCTCGGAACGGTCTGGGGCGGTGGCCGCTAATTGGTACTGCGGGGCACTTTGGATGTCAGATGGTTGGTGAAGGGTGGCAATCGTCGTAGACCATGCATGTTCACATGGCCACGGCCGTACAACAGTATCCGTCGATTCATCTCGATAATAGCTAATCTCTTCCCCCGACGACTCCCTCCCTGCAATGAAACCTGTGCAACCACAGGCGACGATCAACCGTCTCAACATGTACAAGGCCAAGGGCATTCGGGACAAGAAGGGGAAGCTAGTCGGAGGAGCCTACATGATGAAGAACCGCTCCGGCGATCAGGCCATCACGGCCGAAACAGGTGGGTTCTACGGCATTCTTCCCTGTGTGCCCCGTCCGCGCCAAAATCGCGGCTGCGTGTGAAAAATGCTTCGGCGAGTTTTCGTGCGCGGAAAAGAAAGTATCGATGTAACTCGCCGTTTGGGGCTCTGGTGTGACTGCATTCCTGTTCACAACGACGAGTTCTTTACTTACGTTTGCATGCAGTGCTACAAAAGAGCATGCAATTACGAGGAACAACGTGTGTGTCGGCGTTTGATTCTCGCGGTCGCGTGCTGTCTGCCCTCTTCCCTCAAAACAGGCCGCGTGGCCCCCGACCGGAGATGGTTCGGCAACACACGAGTCATCAAGCAGGAGGAGCTTGACAAATTCCGCGAGGAAATGAGCACTAGGTGGGCGGGTAGCAGAGGGTGTGGGCGAGGCGGAGAGGGTTGGGTTGGGCTGGAAAGGGTACACTGTTCGGTCGCAGAGTAGTGCGGCAGGGGGTGGAATGTTTTTGGATGTCACCCCGTGACGAGCTTTGGGTTGAGGCGGCCACACCCATGGCACGGACGGTGGCAGGGCTAGTAGCTACATTTGTCGGTCTCTGTCTGTGCCGCCCTCTCCTCCCCCCCTCTCTCAGCCTCTGTATGGTTTGACAGCGTGGGTGTGGCGAAGTTGAAGGGCACCCCACTGATATATCGTTGTCGCCATCTGAGGCCGGCGGTTGCGTCTGACGCTACCTCCCCCCCCCCCGGACCACACGCCCCGGCCGCGGGAAGCCCTGGCGATCGGCCTCTAACAACACTCACCCACTCGCGCGCTCGTTGCGGCCGCTGTGTTTGTCCTGCCGTACACAGGAGCACGGACCCGTACAGCGTCGTGTTGAGGCGGAAGAAGCTCCCGATGGGGCTGCTGCAAGAGCCGGACAAGGTATTTTACGGCGTGGGATGTTCGGCATCTCGTCTTGCGTAGTGTGGTTGGTGCCCTCGGCGTATGGTGTATTGTCGGCCAAGAGTGTCTCACTCTTCTAAGGCGCTCGTGGCCCAGTACCGCCGCACTTGCTCAGCAATGCGACCTCGGCTTGCATTCAGCGTAGCAGACACCACGAAGACTTGTTGTCCGTGACTTTGTGTGCTGTGTCCCGATCATGAGGCTCGTCGTCTAGGAGGCCAAGCTCAAAAGGAAAATGGCGAGGATCCCGAAACTTTCTTCTTCTTTTTTTTTGTCAACGTTCTCGAGGTGTACCGGTGTAGAAATACCTCACCTAGGAAGGAAGGAGTCGCGGTGAACCAGAGTTATCCTTGGACTCGTTGACCAGTGACGCGTCGTTCGTGTATGTACCTGTTGGACGGACAACAAAAATGGACTAATGTTGTAACTGGGCGGCGCCTCTTGCTCCGCGTGCACTTCCAATCTTCCTTCCCTCATTCCCCTGTGGGTGGAACAGGTGAGCAGGATGAACCTGCTGGAGACGGAGAGCTACTCGGACGTACTCGCCAACGGGAGGAGGCGGAAGCGGCCCAAGCTCGGCAGCGGGGTCAACGATCTGTCCACCTTGCTCGCTTCGGCCGAGGTGAACAAGAAAAGAAAAATTCGAAGAAACCCAAAGTACGCGCACGCACTCACAAGGCGTCGCTACGAAACGGCTGCTGCTCGATATGTTTGGGGTGCCCTTTTCTTGTGTGTTTTTGTCGTCGTTTTGGTTTCGTCGAGCTCGCGTATGGTATTTTTGCTGATAGAACAGAACGGTTTTGGCGTCGCCCTGCCAGTCACGAACAGAAGAGTGGGCCAATTAATAGGGAAAGCTTTTGAAAAGTTGGTGCATCTTTGGTTACGACGTGTTCTGCGTTTGATTTTTGTGGGGTCGGATTGAATGTCTACAACAGTCTCAGGAACGAAACGGCCTTCATCAAGGCGGTATACCGCGTGTGTTCATACATCGGGGCGATTTCCGGACTGTACACGCTGCTCAATCACAGCGCAGACCGAGTGATAGCAAAGTAAAGTCGCACCTCTCGTACAAACATTGAGTACTTTGTGGCCTCAGACTAGCTTCCCTCAGCATGTTGGAGCCGAGAATCGCCCGAAAGTAGGGGGATCTACCAGTCATGCAGCATGGCTTGGTGGGTCGAGCCACTTGTCTGCTCGCCCAGTACTACATTGCTGGCGGACTGCTGCGTGGCGTATTCTGACGTTCCCTCCATTCGTTCATTTTTTTTTCTCCGCTCAATCGTCACCGTTCATCATTGTGCGCGCGGCGGTGGCGGCGGCGGCCGGCAGGTGGGGCGCAAAACGTACGGGGAGGGGGAGGCGGACACGAACGCGCCCAAGGCGTGGGAGGAGAGGGGTCTGAAGAGGGCGGAGCTCTTCGAAAAGGGACAGAGCAGGCGCATCTGGGCGGAACTGTACAAGGTAGGAACTCGGGAGGGAGGCGCCGCGTAAACATCGGGCTGGTGCGGGCGTGGAGGGGAGGGGAGGGGGGAGTCCTAAGCTATGTACGTGGTCGGTTTGACAAGGCATTTGGCGATCGACCAGGCGCATGTGTGTGGGAAGGGAGGGGCTCATCGAGGGGAAGCCGACGACGACAGCGGCGGAAAAGCGTTGACCGTGTTATTTGTTTTCGTTGCCACGACAACGGCGCGCAGGTGCTGGATTGCTCGGACGTGGTGATCCAGGTTCTCGACGCGAGGAACGTTCCCGGAACTCGCTGCCCCCACCTGGAGAGGCACCTCAAGAAGAACGCCTCCCACAAGCACCTTATCTTCGTGATCAATAAGGTTCGCTGATGCTGTGCCCGTGGCCCAGTGTAGCCTTCGAAGGGTCTTTTCCTGTCATGTAACGATGTTGGATGAAGCACACAATCGGGGAAGTTGGGTTAGGGTTTTAGGGGTGTGGTCAGCGTACCCCCCTCCCTGTTGTTATTTCCTCATTTACCGTATATGACACAAGATAACACACCCCCTGGACCGAATTTCGAAGCTCGATTACTCCACGACGAAGAGGATGCATAAACGAAACGATACATTTTTCGAAAAGCTCTCGACGAGACGGTTTCAACGCCGCCGTTTCCGGCGCTGACTGTTCCTGCAGTTGAGAAATCGAGCTTCAAAACTTGGTCAAGGGTGTGTGTAATCTTGTGTCATACACGGTACTTCATTTCTCGCGAAGGCGATCCGCCTGTGGTGTTGTGGTCGCGCGGCGCTGTGCAAGCATGCCCCACTCCCTCGGTCTTTTCTCGCTCGCTGAGTTCCTTCTTGCTGCCTGCTTCTCTGCTGTCCCCGCTGCCCCTTACCGTTTTGATGTGGCCACCGCTTGCTGGTTCGCTTACCTACCCGCCTACTTTGTACCTTCCCGTCTTGCTTTTGTCACCAGGTGGACTTGGTGCCCACTTGGGTGACGAAGAAGTGGGTCAAGCTCCTCTCCGCGACGCACCCCACCCTGGCCTTTCACGCGTCCATCACGAACAGCTTCGGGAAGGGCGCTCTCATCAACCTGCTGAGACAGGTACAGCAAACATGTTGCGAAACGTCGTTGATGTCAATGGCTCGGCACGGGACGATAGCTTCGAGTAGCACTGCCGATCACCACCCGATTTCAAAATGCTGTGGGAACACTGTGAGCGCTTCCCCTGGGCGGCATCGTCGCCCCCGTTCTTCTTGCTTGAATGGAAACCTTGTGCTCCCGAATTGATGTATCTGTTGCCGATTCTTGTGTTGTTTGGCGTGAGGTCGAGGTTTTCTCCACCGCCGCCCCCCCCGCCTGATCACCTCTCTCTCTCTCTCTCTCTCTCTCTCTCTCTCTCGCTCTCTCGTCCCCCCCTCCCCGTATTGTCGGTGGCGTATTCGCTCGCTTGTTCAGTTCGCCAAGCTTCACCCTGACAAGAAGCAGATCAGCGTCGGCGTGGTCGGCTACCCGAACGTGGGAAAGAGCTCCATCATCAACACCCTCAAAAAGAAGAAGGCGAGTTAACCTGTTCGTTTTCCTCCTGCACGCCCCGGCTTCTTTTCCTTTTATATGGAGCTGCACATGGTGCATGCGTGCTGCTCGGTTGGCAAGTATTTCGACACGCGAACGCCCCCGGTCCTGTAGGTGAGAGAGAACGATGCGAAGTCCACGGCGGTAAGACTGTATTTCGTTCGTGGCGATGCGTCACGTTTAGCTTGCACGGTCTGAAAGGAAGCGTATGTATGCCCTTGATCACGCCCCCCCCCCCCCCCCCCCCCCCCCCCCCCCCCCCCCCCCCCCCCCCCCCCCCCCCCCCC